CGACGCGGAAGCGCGTTTTTAAACGCGCATCAAATTATGCGATAAATCGCGCGTTGAACTCCGCGGCTAATTGTACATTGAATTGTGCATCGAATTGCGCATTTAGAGCTAGGTGAATCGTGCTGTATGAAGCGCGTACGGCATTCATTCCGACGCGGAAGCGCGTTTTGAAGTGCGCATCGAATTGTGCAACAAAGCGCGCGTTGAATCCCGCGTCTGAATGTACGTTGAATTGCATATCGAATTGCGCGTTTAGAGCTATGCGAATCGCGCTGTATGAAGCGTGTACGGCATTCATTCCGACGCGGAAGCGCGTTTTGANACGCGCATCAAATTATGCGCTAAAGCGCGCGTTGAATTCCGCGGCTAATTGTACATTGAATTGTGCATCGAATTGCGCATTTCGAGCTAGGCGAATCGTGCTGTATGAAGCGCGTACGGCATTCATTCCGACGCGGAAGCGCGTTTTGAAGCGCGCATCGAATTGTGCAACAAAGCGCGCGTTGAATCCCGCGGCTGATTGTACGTTGAATTGCATGTCAAATTGCGCTTTTAGAGCTATGCGAATCGCTGTACGAAGCGTGTACGGCATTCATTCCGACGCGGAAGCGCGTTTTGAAGCGCGCATCAAATTATGCGCTAAAGCGCGCGTTGAATTCCGCGGCTAATTGTACATTGAATTGTGCATCGAATTGCGCATTTAGAGCTGTGTGAATCGTGCTGTATAAAGCGCGTACGGCATTCATATGAAGCGCGCATCGAATTATGCGCTAAAGTGCGGAGAAGGCGAAAGAAGCGAAAAGAAAGAGCAAAAAACTCGAAAGTATATCGGCACAGTGACAAAGGGAATCGTCAAAGCGAGATCGTCAAAGCTTAAAAGCGAAGAACGGCGCTGTAGGAAGCGTGTACGGCAGTCACTCCGCGCGCGGCCGAAGCATACGAAGCATATGTGCGTGTGCACGTATGGTGAAGTGCGCGTGTTGAAGTCTGCACGTTGAAGTTTGCGATCTGCTAGCGCTGCATATCGCATATCGCATAAGATGCATATGTGCATATGAAGCATATGAAGCACACGAAGCATACGAAGCGGCTAATTGTACATTGAATTGTGCATCGAATTGCGCATTTAGAGCTGTGTGAATCGTGCTGTATGAAGCGCGTACGGCATTCATATGAAGCGCGCATCG